CTCATGGCAGGCTATCGGTGGTCAAACATCGACAGCTGGCGCGCCAGGTAGGGGCTTTTGGTGAATTTGCATCCGAGAGCTCTACGGACCTCGACAACATGATCTTCTCGACGGGATAGCCTGCCACGGGGTACCCGGGGCAGTATGTTCGGGCTTCAGCGTATGCGGAACTCGATGGTAAATGCAAGAGACAGTCGATTTATCCTAGTTCAGACCCTCGATCATTGATCGAGTAATAGCCCTACGTCCAGTCGGCGTTAGCCTTTGCGTTGGATTGATTGTGAAGTATTGTGTCGTAAAGTCTCCTCTCTAGGAACCCTGCCCTCCTTTATATATTCAGGAGGCCAGAATCCTAGTCGGTTTACAATAAGAGTTTCTAGTAGGATTACAGAATAATACTACTACTAAGATTTATCCTGGTTTGGACCCTCGATCGTTGATCGAGTAATAGCCCTACGTCCAGTCGGCGTTAGCCTTTGCGTTGGATTGATTGTGAAGTATTGTATCATAAAGTCTCCTCTATAGGAACCCTGCCCTCCTTTATATATTCAGGAGGCCAGAATCCTAGTCGGTTTACAATGAGAGTTCCTAGTAGGATTACAGAATAATACTACTACTAAGATTATATGGGAAGAATCCTAGTTAGACTAGATCTTCTCCCTTCCTTGCGATGTATAGTCCCATGTCACTTCTTCGTAAACAACCCAGAAACACTTCATGGTTGAACTCTGGAAGCCCGTCTTGTTCCTTGAGGTTTTAAAGGAGGGGAACAAGCGTCATCAAGTGCTTTCTTTACCATGGCTTGTCGATCTACCATCACAATCAATCCAACGGTAAAGACTAACGCCGATCGATCGGAGGGATATTACTCGACTCAACAACGAACGAAGGTCCCAACCAAGATAAATCGACTATCTCTTGCGATCGAGGTCCATCAAGATAAATCGACTATCTCTGACATTACCATCGAGTTCCGCATATTACCGCCCGAACACTACCCCCCCCATGGCGAGGCTATCGGTGGTCAAACATCGACAACCATCTACTGTCTACTCCTACACGCGAATCGGGCGGGCCTTGCCCTCTCTTCCTCCATGGTGATGCATAACTCGCGTTGCATGACCACATGTCGTCGTCGTATCTAGCTTCCTCCCACGGACAACGCCACACCAACGATGGTGGTGCCCTAGGGGCAACGACAATATGGAAGTCGAGGTTGGCACTTGGCAAGCTCGGGTTGGGGCTATGTTGATGGTCATGCGCCGTGGGCTTCCAAAGGTCGCTAGCACTGGAGAACTTGCCGCAGACGAGCCCTCTTCTTTGTGGAAACCTAGCCAAATTTGCTTGCCAACGAGGGTCATGAGGAGAGGTAGCACGATCTTTGAGCACACCAAAGGCACATTTGCATGCTCTCGCCATGGGCGAGGCCAAGAGCACCTCCTCGTGAGCACATCCATGGGAGCCGACACCATGCTCGACGGGCACCTGTTTTATATTGTTTGGCTTGTCATTATATTACTATGGGCCCGATACCTTCACCACTAAGAAAAACACCTAATCGAGACAGGGTGGGGACGAGCAAGCTACACGAGACCCCCCAAACCAAGGAGGGTTTCTCGACAACTTGGCGAGAAAAAAAGGCATAAACTAGATATACTAAAAAGCTAATGAATGTGTAGAAGATCCATTCAGATTCGACCGCTATTCCTTGTAACAAACTAGAAACAACCAGATCCGTTCAAGGTTACTCAATGTAAACTCTACCCGAACAATATAAGGAGGGATAGGGTCTGCAGAGAAACATGGCGCCAAACTAGGGTCATTAGTGAGTTTGGTGGTTGAGTGACAATATGATCATTGAGACTAATATTATTTATCCGAAAACATTGCCTTGCTTAACATAGAGAAGATGTTTTTATCATCTGAAAAAATGTTATCCAATAAAGCTTTTTCTAAATATATTCATGTGGGGGTCTTTTTTAAAAGAATTTAGTGTAAGAAACACAATGGTGTAATCAGAATTTAATTTGGATGCTTGGTTTTGCAATTACAACTTTTAAATTTTTCAAAAGCAAATGTTGTGATACCTAAAATCAGTCGATAGGCCCTGCACGTGAGAACGGAGGCGCTGCTTTTACACAGCAGTGGGAGGCATCACTAGTGGGCCCCTTGTTTTGAGCTTTTTCTCTCCTCTCTCTTCAGCACGTTCCCCTTTGTCTTCAAATATTGTTTATTGACTTGGCTTTACTATGAACTAGCACACGTAGAGGGTGTTTGTTCTTTAGTCGTTCATAAAATTCATGTCACATCGAATGTTTAGATATTAATAATAAGCATTAAATATACATTAATTATAAAACCAATTACATAGATGGAGACTAATTTCCGAGACGAATTTTTAAGCCTAGTTAATCTGTCATTAGCATATATTTACTGTAGCACCCCGTTGTCAAATTATGGGCTAATTAGGCTTAAAAGATTCATCTCGCAAATTAGTCGCAAGTTGTGTAATTAGTTTCATAATTAATCTAGATTTAATACTCCACGCATGTGTTAAACATTCGATGTGACATGAATTATAGGAGGTGGCTAAAAAACCAAACAGGACCGTACTTGCCTTGCTCCTCGTTTTCTTGGCTTCACTCAGAATTGGCAGTGGGGGGAGCGGTACCCAAATATTGTCTTTCCATTTTTAGCACCACTCCGGGCACACACTGCAGAAGGCCTTAAAGCCCCGGTGTTAGCAAATTTGGCTTTTTTGCATGGATCTGTAAATAGTCTAGGTATTTGTCGTGGATTCACAATATATGTGCATGCATAATCATTCAACGCATGGCACTACTGTATAAATTTAGGAGAAACAGATGAAAAGAAAAACTACAGCTCTGGATGATTGTGAATTGACACATAATAATGTAAATCCGTGGCAGGTGACCATTGCTATTCCATAAGAACAGTCCTTAGCTCGTGAGGCACGTTTGATACAGCTTCACCTCCTTGCTACAGTGTGTAGAGGAACCGGAGCCTATCAAACCATAAATAGTGGATTTAGCAGCTCTTTAAAACGAGAGATAAAAATCACCTGCCGAAGTGGGCCGTTGAAACTGTACCAAACGGGTCATGAATTAATCTTTCCCAAGTTCAACCTCTATCTGCACATTTTTGTAAGGGGTCAACAATTCGCCTTGTTTAGTTCCTTTCTTTAAAGTTTACTCCATATCATATCGGATGTTTAGACACATGCATGGAGTATTAAATATAGATTAAAAAAATAACTAATTGCACAGATTACGACTAATTTGCGAGACAAATTTTTTAAGCCTAATTAGTCTATGATTTGACAATGTAGTGCTACGGTAAACATGTGCTAATGAGGATTAATTAGGCTTAATAAATTCGTCTCGCGAGTTACTGAGGACTTTTGTAATTTGTTTTATTATTACTATCCGGACACTCCACGTAACATTTGATGTGATATTCCTAAACTTTATTTTCTGAATTTAAACACCGGCTTAGTATGACCTTAGCATAGGCAGGTAGGTGCTCTCTCTTGGGGAAGTGCACTTTCATGGAAGTCAGCACAAATCCTCAACTTGCGAGCTGCGAATCTTAGCTGCTAGCCTGCTACCTCCTCCTCTGCACTCTACTCGTACAGTCTTACTGTACACCTCTGCTGACAGCGGCAGCGGAAACACGCAACGCTGGTGCTGGTGCTGGCCCGGCCATACATGTCGCCAGCAAGGGGCCAAGGGGTCCGCGGGGTAGCAATTGGCTCCAACGTTCCCAAGATGACTCGTTTTCAAAACCCTAGCTACTGGAGTAGTAGCCGCTAGTCCTGCTTCCACCAAGACTGCCCAGTGAGACCATTAGCACATTAACTCGATCTCCACTTCAATGGAACATGCTTGTAAGTAGCTTCAGGTAATCAGGTTCATTCATCAAAGTATTTCCAACCACTAGCTGGTTGGAGGCTTGGAGCACCCTTGATAGCCCATAATGTTAAAAGAAGTTTTTCTTTAATTGAAACCAGGATCTTTTGACTTAGTATTTATTCTGAATAATAGTACTCCCTCCACCGTCCTAGAATGATAACCCTATTTTGTACTCGAAAAGTCAACTTAATACAAAATTTAACCAACAATTATTCAAATTATACACAAATTTAGGACATAACTTGTATATATCAATAGACCTATATGGTGGTTGTGTGCTGATATTTGACTCTTTTTATAATCAAAATATGTTTATCATTCTGGAACGGAGGGAGTAGTAATCCTGAAAGTTTCACTATACCATAGCTAATATGTCGTAGCGACTCCAAATCGGTCGCTATAAGCCATTATAGCGACTGATGATCGGTCGCTATAAACATATCCCAACCGATGTAACAGTCACGATAAGCGGCGTCGGTATAGTGTTTCAAGAGAGACAGCAGGTTAGTTTAACCATGATCTCACTTGATAAACAACCACAAATTTGCGTTGTTAAGTACAAGTATAAAAACACAAATTTGCGTTGTTAAGTACAAGTATAAAAATAAAATGATAAAAAGAAATAAAAATAAACTCTGCGTGCTCAAAACATTAAGCAGTTATTATTAGTGCAAACGATAAGGAGGTAGAAGTATGCTTGATCCTCATATATTCAGTCTGATATGGTCCATGGACCTCTCAACAAGAGAGCAAAGATTAGAAACCAACTCACCAGCAACTCCATTGCGTATGCATGGAGAAACATTTGGTTATTCTACTACTCTCCAATTTTTTTATACGACGTTGACTATTCCAAAATCAACGCCATATACAAAATGTTAGAGGGAGTGCTATATGCTATATATAGGGATCATGCTAGTTACTAACTAGATCCATATACCTTAACTAGAGAAGCTAATGCAACTAAATAACTAAGCAAGATCACACACGCATGCATATATGCATCTGCGGATCCGCGCATATGCCTGCCTGAAAACTGATCGCCATCATCTGCTGCCGTCGATCATGCTAGTTATGCGAGGGAGGGTGCGTCATGGGCCCGTCGTAGTCCGCGTTCACGTCCACGTCGTCGCTCGCCGCGCTCTCCTCCTGCCCCGTCGCAGAGGCATCCGACGACGACGCGCCCTCGCCGTGTGGTGGCGATGGCATCGGTGACGGTGACGGCTCCAACGCCGCGCTGGTGTCCCGCTTCCCCGGCGGCGATGGCGCGCCTTCGACGCCTTTAGGCTCCATCTCCACGGCTGACAACGAGGGCGGCGGCGGCGCGCCTCCGATGCCAGCCAACTCCACGCTGGGCGACGTCGACGGCGGCCGAGGCGGTGCCCCTCCTCCCCACCGCGCCATCATCTTAGGGTGGTAATGCCGCACGTCGTTGTAGTCGGGCAGAACCTGCATATCATACAGCACAGAAACAATCGCGTGCGCGCCTAATCGAGATTAAAATCGTGCCGGGATTGGAGGGCAAGTATATATAGAGAACGAGCTGCGATCCGCGTGCATGTGGGTACCTCTGCCTTGGCGGTGTGGCGGTGGTGATGATGATGGATCTTCGCCGGCAAAAGAGCGGTGGCGTCGTCGGCGCGCCCAGCGAAGAGGAGGTGTTGGTTCCGGCTGGTGGCATAGCAGGTCGAGGCGGACAGGTGGAGGAGGAAGATGAGGACGTAGGCCAAGAGCATGGCTACTAGCTGCTGCTGCACGCTAGCTGCAGTTATGTCCTATCTCGATCGGTCTGTCGCCGTCTCTCCCGGCCCGGCCGGCCTCTGTTTCCGATCCCTCCTGCAAGGATTTATCGATCGGCCGGTTCGGGTTTTCTAAGAGTGATGGGTTTTTGGCAAGCTGCCAAGCTCTCCATCGGACTAGTATTAGTACTCGTTCAGGGACTCGTATACAATCAATGCTAGCTGTCAAGAGTGCGTGCTCATTTAATACATCGCGTCCCCTGAGATTTACTGGATTACTACTCCTTTATTACTACGTATAACAACTACTCAAAGACAAGTCTCAGAGTCAAAGATCTTGGCCCCATCAAAATAAAAGCAACAACATCTATATGAAAAAGTCAACTTTTCTAAGTTTGACACAACTTACAGGAAAATACAAATATTTGTGATACGAAATTTAAACTATATACACATATAACGAAATAGTTTTTTGGTGTACTTATTTAGGATGAAATATATATTTTATAGTGTACTTATTTAGCATAATATCTGTTGGTACCTTTCTCTATTAAAAAGTAGTTATTAAACCTAAAATAGTTTCCCCCCTCGAACGAAAACCTAAAATAGTTTGACTTAGTAGCTATATATCTAATCTATATCAAATATTAAAAGTTGAAATTTTTCTTCTGTCCTTTGCTCTTGACCAGTCCGTCCATCTCTCACTCCTCTTCTCTCCTTCGGTGCATCGCCCCTCACACTCACTCTCTCCCCGTCTCTGTCTGTCCTCGGTCCATCGTCCCTTATTTTCATCCTTCCCACTTTTACATATGGTTCTATGCTTGGCTTCTCGTTGTTGGCCTTTTGTATTGAATTTTTAGTTTCCCAACACTTGAAAACCAAAAAAAGCTCCTCTTAGCATGCTTTTGACTTTTAGTTTATTTCCTCGGAAGTCAGCTTTTCAAAAGCCAGCTCAATAGCATGGTTGTTTGTTTCAACTTCTGGCTAGTAGAAGCCAGCTAAAAGATGAAACAAACATGCCCATAAGCTGAGTCGGTCTCTTAGGCCGGTCTCAGTGGGAGTTTTACTAGAGTTTCATTTGCATTTAATAACTTGCCACACATGCACTTTTGATGACATGACAACGTTTTAATGAAGAGAGAGAAGAATTGGATTTTACGGAGATGAAACTCTCTTGGCACAGATTACCAACTCTCTATGAATCATAGAATTAAATGTATATAAAACTATGGAATGAAACTTTCCATTAAGGGCATGTTTGGCATGGCTCTGGAGCTGAACTCCAACAACTCCAGCCAATTTTCCAGCCAAACACCCCAGCTCTAAAACTCCATGAAGCTGCCAACTCCATGGAACTATAGTGCAAATGGGGGTGGAGTTTTGGAGCACCTCTTTACAGCTCCAAAACCACCCAATATGAACCTCCTAGTGGAGTTGGTGGGTAATTACCCACCAATGTCACTGGTTACACAGAAAACGGTCCGTTCTTTCTATTCTCCGTCTCCTTCCCGATGCAACCCCTGCCTCATCCCGCCACTGCCGACCTGCTGCCATTCACACTCCCCCGACGGCCGGAGGGTGCATCCCCGCCGCCACCCCCACCTTCCCTGTCCGTGCCGCAGCCTGTGTCGTCCCATGCGATGTCGCCGCCGTCGTGCGTGCCGGCCGGCCTATTCTCACTCCACCATCCGCCACCCTGGGGGCTCCAATCCTGATGAGGGCGCGCCGCCATGCCACCTAATCGCCGCGGAGCTGTCGTGCGACCTCAACCAGAGCCGCTGCCCGCCCGCCAGTAGGTTGCTTCTATCCTTCCGCGAGTGTGCGGTGCGGCCGGCGAAGGGGCAAGACGCGGTCGGGCGGAGCGGCTTGGGCGCTTAGCGCGGTGCGGCCGACGAAAAGGCGGCGTGGCCGCCGACCGGGAGGAGCGGCTTGGCCCAACGCCCGCGACAACCAAGCACTGGCCTCGAGACCCAGCTGTGCGCCGCTGCTTGGTCGCCTGTAGCCGTTGGGAGCGAGGTGCGGCTCGTGCTGGCCACCGCTGACCCACGCCGCCACAGCCCCGTCATGCTCTCATCCCAGCCGCCACAGCCCCGTCCTGCTCTCAATCGGCCAGCACCGCCACGTCTCATACGAAGCTCCACCGGGTTCAAGCGCAACCAACATTCTGATGAAGAAGAAGATAGGGTGGAGAGGCTGACATGTGGGGACGTGAGTTGGGGGTAACAATGGCAATTCATCCTAAAAGTTGTCTTTTTGGAGCTAAAGGTACCCTCCCAGCCAAGCACCTCCATCAGACAGTTCCAACTCCACCCAGAGCTGGCTCCACCTAGAGTTCTGGAGTAGAGCAGCTCCACCCACAGTTGGAGCCATGCCAAACACGCCCTAAGAGTGGGTGTTTCATCGAAGTTCCATTTTATTCTATATGACATGGCAGTATTGGAAACAACAAAATAAAACTCTCCACTTGAGACTGGTCTTATCAATTTCCCATACATGATTAATTCTTTATTGTACTAGCATTTATTATAGGTATTACAATTTATTTGATTTAAGGTTGTACTAAGCTCAATTAAATCTAACAAAAAATATATCATTACTCGAGCTCATTGCTTTCCTTTGGGAAAATAAATATGTGTTCGCTTGGGAACCATCCGCATGCCTAGGGTCCCCAGGAAGGTAATCGAGCATAAATTGGGTCTACCAGCTGGCGACCGACCAGTCAGACAAAAACAAAGATGCTAGACACACGAGAAGCAAGCCACCATATGAGATGAAATCAACCGACTTCTGAAGGCCGGTTTCGTATGAGAGGTCCCCTTCCCAGAGTGGCTAGCAAACCCCGTCATGGTCAAGAAGCCTAATGGCACGTGGCATATGTGCGTGGACTACACCGATCTGAATAAAGCATGCCCTAAGGATGAATATCCCTTCGAGGATAGATCAAATTGTAGATTCAACCTCTGGATACGAATTGCTATGTTTTCTAGATGCTTACTCGGGGTATCACCAAATTAGCATGTGCATAAATGATGAGGAAAAAACTGATTTATAACTCATTTTGGTGTGTATTGTTATATTAAGATGCCTTTTGGCCTTAAGAATGCTGGTTCTACGTATAAAAAATGTGTCCATATTGTTCTCGAGGGCCAAATCAGCCACTATGTGGAGGCATACATTGATGATATTGTTGTTAAAAACAAATTCAAAGGCGATCTGATCGCCGATCTAGAAGAAACTTTTAATAACTTACGTAAGAACAAGATGATGCTAAACCTAGATAAATGTTCTTTTGGCATTTCCTCGGGTAAGCTACTTGGGTACTTAGTGTCTCATTGAGGCATCGAAGCTAACCCAAAGAAGGTCAAGGCTATCGACGACATGCAGTCTCCATGCAAAAAGAAGAAGTCCAGAAGCTAGCTGGCATGATGGCAGCCCTGAGTCGATTCGTATCTAAGTTAGGCGAACGAGGTATGCCGTTTTATAAATTATTAAAGAAGTATGATGGTTTTCTTTGGAGTGAACAGGCCAAAGAAGTGTTTCAGGCGTTCAAGCAATAATTGAAACAATTACCTATACTTGTTCCTCCCAAAGATGGTGAAACCATGCTCCTTTATGTAGCAACAACTCCTACAGTTGTCAGCGTGGTCCTGGTGGTTGAGCGTCAGGAAGAGAAGTCAGCAAAACAACTCCCGTGTATTTTGTGAGCGAAGTACTACATGATGCCCGATCCAGGTACCCAAACATTTAAAAATTAATCTATACCGTATTGATGTCTTCTTGCAAGCTTAAGCATTATTTCTTAAGTCACAAGATCAAAGTGGTTTCTTCAGACCCACTCGGTACCATTGTTCATAATCTAGATGACGTTGGTAGAATCACTCAATGGTCAGTCGAGTTAGGACAATACGATATAGAGTTTGTGCCTAGAACTGTGATCAAATCACAGGCTCTAGCTGATTTTGTTGCAAAATGGACAAATCCTGAACCCGAGGAGGCGGCTCAAAACCCCGAGCACTGGCTGATGTTCTACGATGGAGCAAAATGCAAGAATGGCGTAGGGGCTGGTGTCGTCTTAATCTCTCCGGAAGGGGATGCCATGAGGTACTCAATTCAAATTGATTTTACTGATCCTACTCCAACTAACGATTTGCCGAGTATGAGGGCCTGATTAACTGGTTTACGAATTGCCATATCCTTAGGTGTCAAATGACTACTTGTGAAAGGGGATTCAGAAGTAGTCGCTAAACAAACCAGCAAGGATTATTGAGCAACAGACGAGAACATGGATGCATATTTACTGGCATATAGACGATTGTAATCTAAATTTAACGGGCTCGAGGTCCAGTACATCCCGAGAAAACTAAACTCGGATGCTGACACGCTTGCTAGCTGGGCAGCTAAACGACAGCACCTACCGAGAGACGTCCTGGTCTAAGTGCTAACAAAACCCTCTATCCCGATGTCAAAGTCAGGTCCAAACCCCGCGCTTGATCCATCGAGCAACGAGGCAATACTCAGTGAATTCCTTGGGAAGTCTATGCTGGGTGACATGGCTCATCCTGCTGCTCTAGTTGGAAATGGGGAGAACTAGATGGATCCAATCCAGGTGTACCTCACAAACCAGGCTACTCTAGTAGATGAAACGAATATAGAATGAACCAACCATAAAGCATGAGCTATCAAATGGTAGATGGTACCCTCTACAAGCAAGGGCGAAATGGGGTTCTTCTCAAGTGTATCACCCAGGACGAGGGCATTAGTTTGCTCCACGACATCCATGGAGGAATCTGTGTTCCATGCCTCTCACAGAACGCTGGTTGGGAAAGCTTTTCGACAAGGGTTTTACTGGCCTACAACGCTCAAAGACGCCACTGAGTTGGTTAGAACATGTGAAGCTTGTCAATTTTTTAAACGGCAGGTTCACCAACCTGCTCAAGCGTTAAATATGATCCCTCTATCTTGGCCATTCACCACATGGGGCATCGACATTCTGGGTCCTTTTCTAAGAGCCTGGGATGGTTAGAGATTTCTAATTGTAGCGATCGATACTTTCACAAAGTGGGTTGAAGCCGAGCCAGTAGGCCGGATAACCAAAGAGAATACAGTCAAATTTTTGCGGAGCATTGTATTGCATTTTGGCGTACCATACCGAATACTCTCGGATAATGGTACACAATATACCTACAAAAAATTTGAGAATTTTTGTGAAAGACATGCCATTAAGCATTATCGGTCCTCAGTCTCCCACCCGATGACCAATGGTCAAGTAGAGCGTGCTAACAACATAATTCAGCAGGGAATCAGGACCCATATTTTTGATAGGCTTAGCGCCTATGATAGAAAATGGGTTGAAGAGCTCCCTACAGTTTTATGGGCAGTGCGCACTACAGCTAATCGGGCCACGGGCGAAACGTCATTTTTTCTTGTGTTTGGGACTGAAGCAGTCCTTCCCCTCGAAGTCCGATTAAGCTTGCCCTGAGTAGCAATGTTCTCCGAAGAAGTGCAATATAATCGTTGGTACACCAACCTTGAACTCCTCGAAGAAAAGCGTGATATAGCCACATTCCAATAGAGAAGTATCAGCAAGCCCTTCGGAAATATCATAGCCAGCGTGTACACGGCAAGGCGCTTAGCATCAGCGATCTGGTACTCAAAAGAGACCAACGCTAAAAGGATAAAACCAATTTGACACCTCCTTGGCAGGGTCGTTGATATAGCTCGACCAGGCGCATACCGACTAGCAGAGATAGACGGGGATATGCTCCCGAATACATGGAACATGGATCAGCTACAATGCTTTTATGCATAATAAATTATGTTCCTGATATTTTATGTCTCCGCATACTACCCAGATAAGTACATTATTTCTATTTCTCTGATAGTAGTAGTTTTGCTAGAGCATACATGCTCGGGGGCTGGGGCTGGGGCTGTTCAATTCCAATGATTTCTTCGACTAGTCTGCTACTCTTCATTCGGATAAGTCACACCTATCCAAATAAAGAGTCGGGGGCTATCATACTACTATTCACTAGTCTACAAAAATTCTTGACCATGCTAAGCCTAAATCAAGCAAACGGTTTCAACACACAGTACATAGACCACCCAAGAGTTTAGCTACTATAAGTCTAACTATTCGCTTGATGATAGGTCAAAATAGCAAAAGTAAGAAGAATTATGTAAGACTAACAAAATAGTGCACTATAACACATCTCACAGTGTTGCAGGGACAGGTAATGTTTCACTCTTCCTCTTTCTCGTCACTAACTGACAGGTTCAACTTCTCTACAAATGGCTCGAGTGCTTCCCAGCTCTCATCAAGTCATTCCTCAGCCTTACCTCCATCACAATTGTAACCCTGAGAAATCAGGCTCATATCAAGATTGGGCAGGTAACTTATGAGAATGCCAATGGCATGCCCAGCCGAAGTGAGAGCTCCTTCAACCAGCTTTGCTTCAACATGTGCACGGCGTTGCTCGAAAACCTCACTCTTGCGCCGCAGCTCTTCGATCCCCTGCTCTAGAGTCGCCTTCTCACCCTCTAGGCGCTTGATGTAAGCCACATGATCTGCAAATATGGCAAGATTTGAGGCAAACTCCACAGCAAAGGTATAGATTTATATAAGAAAATCATTTACATACCCTCATTTGCATCCCGAAGAGTCTTCACCTCTTCCTCCAGTTGAGCCACCACTGCCTTGTAATGCTTGGCCCTATCACTAGCTCCCTTCCACGAGCTTTGACAAGCCTTCAAACCCTCGACAAGTGGACTCATCTAGGAAGGGTCATCTTCAGAAACCATCTCCTCGCTCCCTAGAACCTTCACCTAGGTTGACAGCTCTAGGGTGGGCCTATCTGGGGTCGGGGTTGCATCAGAATTATCACCTCTAGCTGACAAGCTTGGGGCTTCTTCTAACCTGGAAACATTTCCGAAAGACACATACGTCAAGATGATACTTGGGACAAGTACATAACCACATAATTCTGTTCACTCATGGCTTAAAAGGGATGGAGCACTTAAGCTTCGGTGCCCGCCTAGCCGTCGGGTTGCTGGTTGTCGGGGTTGTTGCTTTCTCGTGAAGACAAACCTCTTGTGTGCATTTGATACTATCCAGATAAGAGAATGTCTCGAATAGCATACCAAAGACGATCATAGTGATACCTGGTCATGTCCACGTGGTGGGACTTTGATCGAGTGCTCATTGCTAGTGCCAGCTTGAGTCACCACAACCTTCGCACCCTCTCCAGACGGTGGTCTCTTGGATTTGCTCTTGGCTCTCTTGTTTTCAGAGAGGGTGACATGATCGGGTTCCCCCTGTGATCGGAGCTTCCTCTTCTCCACCCGAGGGGCCGATCGGGCGGCCATGCCCTCTTGGGCTTCGCGGGCCCCCGGGCTATGTCTCCCATCTTCTTCTTCGCCCGAGTTGTCCATAGCTTGGGTGCAGAGGTCTTCTCGGGAGGAGCCTGCTCCTGTGGCTGTTTTGCCTCGACTGCCATCTGCTCTTGGGTAGACTTTGCCCCGATCTCTGCCTACTCGTGTGCCAGCTTGTCCATGGCACTGGCAGGCTTAGAGGCTTAGGCTTGGGGAGCTTCCACGACATCCCCTTCGTCATCACTCAAGACAACACTCCACAGGACGATGCCAATTCCAAGGGCTGCCTGACAAATGCAAGAAGTAAAATTAACCTGGCTATTTAAGGAAGACAGCCTGGGAGGTTTAAGCTATTCAACGCACGAGAGGAGGATTCTCGACAGTATGGCTAGGGGACGCCCTCCTAGTCGGCTTGGTCTATGCCAAGGATATACTTCACCCGATGAGTGATCTTCTCCTTTAGCACTTCTGTAGAAGCAAGTCGAGGTTAAAATTACACACCAAAGGGTTAAGGCTTCCAAGTAAAGAGCAAGATCGAGGTTGAGGTATCTAACCTTCTCTTGACTCTATGTTCGGCTCCATAACCGCCAAGTAGGTGTAGGCCAAATCCCTATGCTTCAAGGCAATAATGTGCCACCGAGCAAAGGTCTCGACTATGTGTGCGGCAGTCAATCTAGCCTCCCAGAGTGCCCAAACATGCTCGATGTGGCCCCTCATCTTTTCAGTCATGATGGGGGGGTGAGTACCAAGCCTCGTTGGTTATAGGCATCCTATAATTAGCCTTGACAACATTCTTCTCTCGAAGATCAATGTAAAACCACTTCTCTGCAAAGCCCTTCTAGGAGGACTTAACTAGGAAGACAATGTACTCCCCTTTCTTCCTAAGGGAGAAGCCAACCGACCCAACAAACATATTGTTGTCGTGGTACATGCTTGAGTAGAAGTAGCGCCATAAGCTGAGATAAGGCTCGACGCCAAGCCACGCCTCACACAGAATGGCAAAAATGCTCAACATAGCAATAGCATTTGGCAGCATCTGAGCAATCTCGATCTTATAGTGCCTACAGACTCACTCCAAGAACTTGGATTGTGGCACTCCAAATCCGCACTCGCAATGCGCTGAGGTGGTGATTTGGAGGGTGTCAGGGGTCGGGTGTTTCTCACCTTGGGTAGCAGTCCACATGTACCCTTCTAGAACAGGCCACGTGCCATCAGCGTCTCTAGGTTCATCTCCGACGTTGTCGAAGGGACCCAGTACTCGTTCAGCTGGACGATGACCATTGGTTCCACCGGCTCCGCTAGGTCCTTGTTCTCCTCCGTTGGTTGGACTAAGGGCTAGGGCTCTGCTGCAGCAGCCCCTTCCCACTAGGTGGTGGCATCACGTCCGGCGGGTTCAGAGCTTGAGGCCATGGCAGCGGCGAAAAGGGGATTTGGGGGTGAAGGAAAGGGCGGAAAGGCAAAGGGCAGAGTTTGGAAATGCTAAGCGACAAAAATAGGGACAATGGTTGCCATCGAAGCGAGGCGAGGGGTTAAATGGCCGCCTGTCGTGCATGTGCATGATCCCCCAAAAATCGCTCGGCAGCTATAACGTGTGCCTAGACTGTCGCGCCAATAGTTATTCGCAAGGAAAACTATCGCTTTTTTATTCCCTGAATAAAGTTGATGATTTAGTGCCCTGTGAATAATTAACAATTAAGATATTTACACCCGAGTCGTGAGTAAGACTCCAACCCGACTATGGCTTAGGTCCCGATTAAGTTATAGCTTGGGGTTTCGGAGTAAAATCACTAATTGGGTTAATATGGCTACAAGATCTTGACTTTTGAACTGTATCCACGTGCAAAGTACGATTGCGACTCTGCTCATAGTGACTCGAACACGGGACATATTGAAAGATCTAGATAAAAGCGAAATAATATCGGGAAGTAATCATTTGATTGATAATTCACTAAGATGGATTTATAAATGGATAAATAGAACCCTAATCTAAGGCAACTGGAGCAGGCAGCACCTCCAAATGTCACCAAGCTCCTTAGAAGGCTTGTTGATGAGATGGGAGCAGCCTAGCTCCACAACAGCGATCTGCTACCTGCAGGCTCATCCTTCGCCTCTTCCACCTCATCCTCGTCGACCTCCTCCTCCTCGACGGCCTCTTCCTCATCATCGCTGCTGAGGATCACAAGGCCGTCATCCCTTGGGATGCCAATGGCCTCGTGATTCAGCTCGATGAAGAGCTTCCTTGCAACCTCCACATCACGGCTCATGCCTGGCCAGCCAATGGTGCAAGGAGTCGAGGGCCCAGGGACGTCAGGGATGGTAGAGGCAACGGTGCGGCGAGAGCGGTGGAGATGACTGGGGCAGCGGGAGCAGCGCCCACCGACGGGGTTGAACCTTCTGGCTCGTCCTCATCAGAGAGCTCAATCACCACCTCCGGCGCTAATGGCACTGGCTAGGCTGAGAGCTTGGCTAGAGATCCCAGGGCGATGACTTCATCGACCCTAGTTTCCCCTCCTGGGGCCACTGGGGCTAGAGCTGCTGGCATCATCGCCAATGGCAATGCCGCCGCTGAGGTTGGGGCTCTAGGGGGCGTTGGGGATGGAGATGCGGGCGCAGACGGTGGAGGCGACGACGTACTGCTCGACGATGCTACTGTGGCCGATTGGCCAGGCGACTATGCGAGCAGCAGACGTGGCACTTTGTGGGGACGTTTGCGCCCGGCGGTTTTCTTCCTCATCTTTGCTACAAAATTGGGGAATGGAGGTTGCAGATTCATCACGAGCGGGCCTGATTAAATAGGACCAAGCCGCCTTTCTAGCAATCTCAACTGCCATCTCAAATTAAAAAGGAATTAAATCTCCACCACACGCACTCTTGGGTAACCGAGCCAACACGACGCTTTGACTGACAGGCGACTGTGCGCCCCCTGACTTGCGTGTGAAATGAGATTGACAAGACAAGATGACTTGAGGATGGCACTGGATCAAGTTAATCTCCCAACAGCGCACCTTTCTCAGTCTGCACAAGGTCGGGTCCTAATTCGCTGTTGGTAACATGGGTTATCTCTTGGTACCCGGACTGCAAACCACCCGACTAGGACAATCCCGACTACTCGTAGGTGACCAAGTTGCATTTGATAGACAAGCTTGGGGGCTTATGTCTATGCCATACCCCCACGTACCCCAACTTCCATATTGCCGACTGTCTACTTTGGATCAAATACGACCCGAAGGCCGATGATGACCCTATTCAAGGAAGGATATCTCCAGATTACACCAAGACTCCAACTAGGACATGACTTCTTAGCTTCTAGGGCAAGTTGATCTTGGATATAAATAGCTAGCAATATCTCCTGTTGTAATGATCGACTCTCTCATAGGCATAGCTACATTGTAATCGCAATCTCAACGAATACAAGCAATACAAGAGTAGCAACTAGACGTATGGCTTTTACTCGCTTCCCGATGGCCCGAACCAGTATAAATCTTGTCTCCATCTGTGATTGTTGTTCACACTAAGCGGGGATCCCCAAGAACCAAATATCTGTCGGTAAAAAACACCAACACCTTATCTCAGGATCAAGAAGACGGGGACCAATATATGGAAAGAACTTATTCCTTACCGTTGTCCTCTTGAGTCAACATGTAACACCCTAAAATTTGTATGATTTTCAAAATAGGAGAAAATGATTTAATTATGCATTTTGTGGGCATTTACATTTAGGGAAAATAATAACTTTGTTAAAAATAAAATCAAATATAGGTCTACATACATGTATGTGCATACATGCTGCTGCATATTTATTTTGTGATGCTTTGGTTTGATTGAAATTTGCAAAAGAATTTGAATTTGATTTGAAATTGGATTTGAAAATGTGTTTAAGAAAATAAAAAGGAATTTTCTTCCCTCTCTTCACCCTCCCTGGCTTTTGGCCCGAAGGCCCATTTCCTCCTTTCCTTCTCGGGCCGCCCCGTTTCACTGTGTAGGCCGCTGTCATTCCCGCAGCCCAGCTCCACCCCATCCTGTAGGCCGTTTCCCTCTCCTCTTGGGCCGTCCCACCTTCACTCGCCTGGCCCAGCTGCAGGGAGCAGCCCAAGCCATAGCGCCCATCCTCCTTGGTTCCGCTAACATGTCGGGTACACTAGTCAGTGCCGTCTTCCTCGTGCTTGTTCGCCCTAGACTCCACCGCGCCGCCGACGCCGCGCCGCTCATGTCTCTTCCTTGCCATGCCGCCCAAGCCGAATCGCCTCATAACAACCAGATGCCCGCATCGTGCCGCTCCCGTCCCAAGCTTCGAGCTACAGCTGCCCTCGCATTGCGCCGATCCATGCTAAACCTAGCACCATCGCCATCTCCGACTGCCTCACCAAGCACCATGCTGCTCTCATTCGCTTCACACCGAGGTAAGCTACCTAGCCGAGCTCACCGTCATCTCCTCTCTCTCCTGGTGTCTTCGGCTCGTGGATTCACGGTCCATAGGCCATGTTTCATACGCGTCGCCCGTCTCTGGCCATGGCACCGCCGTGGAGCTCGCCGCTGACCTCGCCGGCGTCTTTCATCCCTTCCAGATCTGTTCCGAGCCGTTCATCGTCGATCCAACGGCTTAGATCGGTTGATACCGATTCGGCCGATCTTTTTGCTAAAGAGTCCCTCGGGTTTTTGATTATAGAACCCGCCGTCCCTGCATTTATTCTAAAGAGCCCCTGTATTTCTTCATTTTTATGCCCGCAGTCCTTGGTTCAATTTTGAAAACCGATTTTATTTATTTAAATTCGAAAATTAAATTTAATCTATTTACAAAACTGCCATTGTCTTCTGTAGGCCATAAAATCTTCGTTTTAACTCCGATTTGATCCGTTCAAGTTGCGTTAGGTTCGTAAATGAGTAATCTACATGTTCATATGACTGTTAAGTATGTTTTCAACTTTTAAAATTCAAGGTTAGATTCAATCTATTATTTTAATAAAGGAAATCTTGTTTAATTCATAACTTTCACATTTTAGCTCTGATTTTTGTGATCTTCGCGTCTGTGTGTTCGTAGTGAGACATAGATTCGTTTTACAAACTTTTCATCTTGATTTTATGCTTATTGGTGTACTGTTCTAATCTATAGCTTTTACTTATTATGCATGATTGCTTCTGGATGCTTGTATGTTGCTGTGATTATCGAGTATAGATGGTGAGCAATTCATGGGTGACCAAGAGTACTACTTTGATGAGCGGGATCAGCAGGAGCACTTTGTTCAAGGCAAGTATAGCATGAGATCATCCTTGTTTCATATCAACTTTAATACATTTAATTCATGTTTGCATGTGTCACCTTGATAGGGATTCCCTAGAATTGAACTTATACCTTGTCTCTTATGGGATATGCATTGGGTAGCTTTGCTAGTGCTCAATTAAACCATGATCTTGTAACTTGACTAATGGTATATGCAACAAACATTAAAACATGACTTTTTAGCAACATGGAAATAGGGGGCTGGAGTGTTTAGCTACTTTCTAAATGCTCTAGATTCCTCTCCCTAAGAAATTATCTGTAAGTAATCATCCGGGACTTACAGTACAGCTATGAGAGCTACATGGCTCTGGCTTTAGCTGAGTATGAAAACATTTTCTAGCTTGTTAGAGGTTACCTTTATGATGCAAGAGGGGTGTGTCTCGGGTTGGATATAGTATGGACTTTGTCCGTTAGTGTATAGGCTGCGCGTCATTATGCCTGTCGAAAGGGGAGCCCTACATTCACAGGGCATAAAACCTAGCAGCCCTAATTCGTTAGACGAACCTTTGAAAGGCTTCGTAGTGACCTTTGCCTGCTCACCTTGGAAGTGTTTTGGGAGTAATTAACCCGGGCATAAGGGTATCATGACCCATAGTGAAAGTGTACAACCTCTGCAGAGTGTAAAACTAGTATATCAGCCATGCTCAAGGTCACGAGCGGCCTTGGAACCCTTAAGGAATAGATGATCACTAAGAATTATCTATTTATGCTATTCATTATTCATGTTTACATTGATCATGTGTTTTACCTTGGGATTGAAACAACTTGTTGCTACTCTTATGCTAAATTTTTGATAATTAAAAGCTGAATGCTGTTAAACCCGTGTCAAGCCTTTTGAGCCTCATGAACCCCATGTTACACTTGTTGAGTACGACATGTACTTACGCTTGTTTATTTTCATTATTTGGATAAAAATCCCGGATGGGTAACAGATGGCTATGGTAATGACGACTATCCTGAGGATTACTAGACTTGTGGTCAACCAGTTGACGTCCCTGTGATATGGAGCTTCCATGAGAGATTTATCTTCATACGTCAGCTATTTTATATGAAGACTCTGTCTTATTATTCGTGATGTAATAAACACTTGTGATGATACTATTTATAATTTGTTGGCTTATGCATGTGACTGATCTCTAGGCGCACATAAGATTATGCATCCCATTTTATCCTTAAAATCGGGTGTGACGGATTGGTATTAGAGCCGTGTTGACTGTAGGACGCAAGCCTAGTTAGTAATGGTCGTCTTAGCTTCTTATGCTTCACTCATTTTATGATTTCCATCTCACCCTTGTTATTTGCTAAATTTGCTTCTTTTGCCTTACTCTGTTATGAAAATTATTGCTTCTAATCTGACTAAATCAAATTTTGTAGATGCCTCATGCCAATAAGACTGCTCACATCATCACCGGAGGCTACTACCCACCTCGTGGCATGTATGAGTCCATAGAGCCACGTGAGGAGGAGGAACCCCAGGAATAGGAAGTTGATTCGCCAGCACCTGCACCTACGTCGGAGCCATTCCAGGAAGAGCCTGAAGAAGAAGAACCCGAAGAAATGGAGGTCGTTGCATTATCTGATGAGGAGGAGGAGGAGGACGCCGTTCAAGAGGATGAGCCGATCCCTCCCCTGGGATGGACTACGAAGGTCTGGTACAAGCCGGGATGTGAATCCTTCGTCTCGCACCACTCGACTTATGGGAATTCTTCAAACCTACTACGGTGATTAGGACATAGCTGTGGAGTACGTCTGCAATGAGCATACGCATCCTTTGGAGGACACTTATTGGAAGACTAGGGTGTGCATCTCCATCAGGGATGAACAGAAGGAAGCATACCAGCTGGACTCGAACTATGCGCATCACACTCACTATGCCACCATGGAAGATAGCATAGAAGATGCAGCCGCGGTAGCCTGCATGGGTCTCCATGGTCGCCGCTTTGATGATATGAAGGAAGATCAATATCACTTCCTCCCTTGCCAACA